ATGAGCCTATACTTTGTTAATTGAGCAACTGCGGGAAAATTGCCAGGCTTCAGGGGAAATAATAGACATAAAAAAAATGCTGCTATAAATTAACCTAACACCTTTAGAGAGCTTTAAGGACACATGTAGCAGGCTTGGGGGAAGGCAGCAATCTGTATAATGTAAAACAGAGTAAATAGCTTTGACTTTGACCTGATGATTGTGTGTTTTGTTGTATATCTGAACTAATGTTTAATTGCTTGGGATTGTTTTTAAGGTTAAGTTAAAGAAAAGTGGACATTAGGATGGCAGTACCACCTCATTTCTATCCTCTCCATGTGACAGTGGAAATTTAAAATTAGGCAAAGCCCTGTCTTGACCTCAGTTAATAACAAAGTTAGTTGGTCAGAGTTTTGGAGAGGAATATTGTAGTATTTTCCATGTTTGCTCCCTCAGGAAGAGAGTGGTCTGATAATAACTTGTTTATTATGCTTCTAGCCAAAACAGGGACAAGGTGTTTTGGAGGCAGTGACGTTTAATCTCTTAGTGGTGGTAAGATATTCACTAGCTAAATTTGGTCCTTGAAACTGCAGATGGGGCCTCTGTCTAACTGATGCTGAAGAGACAAGAGCCTTGTTGATATCAGATGTTGTATCTTTACGACTTGGTGAGGTTTGGCCAAAATGGAGGATAGGTTTCTGAAATCAATGGACAATTTTATTTGGCTGCAGTTTGACAGCCACCACTGACAGGCACTTTTAAAAGATTTATTAAATTCATTCTTTATTCCAAGTTTTCATTTTTTATGCAGTATAAGTTTTTTTATTCACATATGTTGATTTGAGTGTTGATTTAGCTGCCTGTGTTCTGTTGTTTTACACCAAAAGTCATTTTTGATCACAAATACATAAGACACTGTTTTGTCTTCAGAAATTAGAAACAATGTCTCTGTCATTGGTTGTACATCTTTAACACAAAGTATGTTAGTGTGTTGAGTACTGTTGAGAAAAACAGAAAAAACACTTTAAAACAACATCTATAATAATTGCAATTATATTAAATATGTCTTTATGTGTTTTATGTGGCAGCTATGAGAGCATCACAGAAAAGGGCGCCACTTGGACAGTGGTCAGCCCCATCGTCTTTACCTACAAGGTGACTGAGACTCAGGACTTGCTGGACCCGATCAATAACACACTCCTGCTGGGCCACATCAGCGACCCGCAGCAGCTGGAGGACTTTAAAAAATCAAACAATTCAATCAAACGCTTTGTAGTCATTGACCAAGAAGTCTACAAAATCTATGGGCCCAAGCTAACTCACTATTTGGAGGCCAACAATGTCCTGTACAAGATCATGGCTCTACCCACCACTGAGGAGAATAAATCCATGGAAATGGCCTTGAAGATCCTAGAAGAGGTCAACAGCTTCTCCCTTGACCGCCGCACGGAGCCCATCATTGCCATAGGTGGAGGGGTATGCCTGGACATAGTGGGCCTGGCTGCCTCACTCTACAGAAGACGCACCCCTTACATCAGGGTCCCGACCACACTGCTCTCCTACATCGATGCCAGCGTGGGGGCAAAGACGGGGGTTAACTTTGCAAACTGCAAGAACAAGTTGGGTGCCTACATTCCACCCACCGCTGTCTTCCTTGATCTGTCCTTCATACAAACCATTCCTCGACGACACATTGCCAATGGGCTGGCAGAGATGTTAAAGGTATTGTACATTAAAGTCCTTGGTTGTGGAAAATTTACCTTAAAGCTGATACATACTGGAGATCACCAGATAATACCATGATGGCTTCATAACAGTATAAACATTTTTATGAATATAAAGGTCCTGATTTTAATCAAACTAGTGCAGAGCGGTGAGTCTTGAGGGCACAGACTGCTATTCAAAGTACAGAGACTTTTTCAGGAGTCACCAAAGGGAAGTTTGAAAGGGAAGTAGTAACCTGATACATTTATTGGCCCAGAGAGATGATGTATTTTTTTTATGTTTGGGTTTCTCATGTAAGTTTTATACATATTTTTCTTTGCAGATGGCCTTGATGAAACACAGAGGCCTCTTTGAGCTTCTTGAGAAACACGGCCGTATGCTGTTGGACACTAAATTCCAGGCTGACAACAGTGTAAACGGGCTCAGCTGCTTACAGGCTGCATCTCAATCAACCCGTATAGCCATCACAACCATGCTGGAGGAGCTTGCCCCAAACCTTTGGGAGGATAATCTAAACAGACTTGTGGACTTTGGCCACCTTATCAGCCCAGCATTAGAGATGGTAAATTATCCCTCATGGCAGCTATAGCTTAGCACTTCTTACTATTACCTCACTATTTAAATCATCCTTTGTTGATACATGCTATTGTACACTTATAGTATTGTATGTTAGTTCATAAGTGAGATATTATGTGGTTTATGGTTTTCACATATTCTGCCAATTTTGATGACAAATAGCCACATCCTCACATTATCTCACTTTTTTCTTTTTTCATACAGAAAGTTCTCCCATCCCTGCTGCATGGTGAGGCGGTGAACATTGATATGTCTTACATGGTTTATGTGTCCAAAGAAAGTGGTCTATTGACAGAAGAAGAAAAGCAAAGGATCATCAGTTGCATGGTGGGCTTGGAGCTGCCTGTCTGGCATGAGGAATGTACCAAGGAGCTAATACAGAGGTCTCTGCAGGAAAGGGTGAAGCATTCTGGAGGCCTGGTAAGAATGCCTCTACCTGTTGGTCTTGGGAAAGCAGGTAAGAATCACTAGAATGAGACTGTACTTAAAAAGAACGTTTAAAGTATGTTCAGTAGCAAGTAATAATGTTCTTTTCATAGCCACAAAAACTCTTATCTGTTGTTCAGACTAGCTTTCTCTGGAGAGCCTTTTTTTTTGGTTTTGCCAAGCTCACAAAAGCCCTGAGAGGCAAGTGAGAAAATTATTTTGACCCAAGCCAAGTTTGGTGTTCATCAAATGCAAGTGGAATTTATTAGGCTATTGCAGATTTACAACCGTGTTGAGCAATTATCACTCTTAGTTGCCTAAACATGAAGGAAGTCCTGCCGCTACAAACATTTGGAACCAGATTAGCTTGTATAAGTCTTTTTTGAATTTGTTCCTGTTTTATGTTATTCAGACTCATTCAGATATAATATATGGAAAATAAAGCGTGTTCTTTTTGCTCTCTTTTTTTTCATTGCAGAAATTTTGAATGACACATCTTGTGAGATCCTGCAGAGAGCTTATGAAAAATGGTGCAATGATCTGAGCATCTCCTCAGACAGCAACTGTGACCCTTAACCTGCCTATTCCACAATTGCATCAGCTCAACTTAATGTTTACATTTTGTAGGGAAGTATATGTACTGTAGCTATTCATTGTTTAAGTTACTAGGGAAAAAAACTTGAAAGCATGCACCTACTGTATTTTTACAATATGGCAATAAAGGCTAAATGCTGGGTAGGCCTAATCGTATTAGCACTGCTATTGTTCTTAATCATTTATTGACACCAGATACTGTCTGCATTGTCTATAAATGTTGTAAAACAAATTACATAACAGTTTAACACATTTTTGTTTTGAAATATGTAATAAACAGCTTGCTAACTTCTATCATGTCTGTCAGTGCACTTGTACGTATGCCGCATTAAAGAGTTTTGCTGCTTATCAAAAACAGTGTCCATCATGTTGGCCTCCTACTTTTATTAACTTTATTTACAATGGCATGTATATTATTCCAGCTTTTAAACAATAATAAACTAATAAAAAAAAAAAATAAACAAAGAGCTTGTTTGCCAAAAAACAGCTGGCTCCTGAAAAAAACATAATAGCTATAAGATTGAATTGTATTTTGATTTTAATTCTAGCTCTTTTCACTGACCTATCACTAACATGATGAGGAGCTAAATTCCCCCATTCATTACAGCTGTACATAGGGTGAACTTTTTTTTTTTTTTTTTAACAAATGTGTTTATTGATGTTTCAAGCTTTACATAGTTAAACACATTTACAGATTTTTTTCTTATTAAAAGCTTTAAATTCTTTTGTTCCATATCTGAGTAAAAAAGAAAAAAAAAGAAAAAGAGAAACAGCGTAAACAAAGAACCTGTCGGCAAGGTTGTTCCTTATTCTTATGACAGTGCCAGAGGTC